TTTCATTTCTTTTATTCAGGTTTGGGAGTAGGGAACTGTTTTCCAAAAATATCCAATACTTGAAGCAGCAGACAGAGCATCCGATAAAGATAGTTTTGTAGATGGAGAAGATAGAAAGACCATTCTCAATGTGCAAAAACATAATACTTGTGAGATTAAATAGTAAAAGAAATAGAACATAGGAAGTTTTATAGATTACAAGAGTATTGCATGAACTTTTGTTCTCATAGTTTACAACAATCGTGCTTCTCATACAAATTTGCTCAGTTCATGAAAACATTGTCTTTCACACTGAAGCAAAATTAACTCTTAAAACTAAATTTGTAAAACTGTGATACTTCTAAGCATTTTCAAAATTCATTATACTCAAGTATATGTCATCAATTTTCAATTATAGTCATATATTGCTTAAAATAATTATCATAAGCCTTTATACTTTTAAGATTTACTATCTATCCATCATACAATTGTAAGATCTTTAGAGAGCCATTGTTTAATAATTATCGTAAGCATTAACTTTACTATTAATGCTTAAATTGTTTGGAAAGAATTTTCATTTATTAAAAGTCTAAGTTGTAAAGATCATTTGGCATGGATTCGAACGTCAAACTTTCCGATTGCCAGCCGGAAGTGGTTTCCAGTTATAGCATGAAAGACGCGTTGTAAGGAGGATGGAAATAAAGTAATAATGACTAATATATTTACTGATGACTAATAACCTGCTAGTTATGACAACCTTAAAGTAATTATAACTGGAATTTCTGCATTGCAAGTGCAATCCATAAATAAGTTAAAACCTGCACAGTTAAATTAATCCTCATTCATATACTGCTCCTGTTCATGTTTGTTGTTTATTAACATTTTTATACTATTACTCACAGAATACATATTAATTTGTTTCTAGCGTATTATGTTAGATATAATGCATTTCTAGGAAATAATTATTAGTAGATGGACTTTTAATACGAGAATCCATGACGCTACTTTCTTATTTTATTTTTATGTTGAGGTCTACTGCATCTTTAATCACATCTCCATGCCGAAAGGCAAACTAAGTAATTGCAAACAGACAGTCAAAGCCTAAGGCAAGGGATAGAACTCTAATTCCATAAAACACTAGAAAACATAAAGCAAAGGCCCTGCTGCAGAATTTATTGTAACGATTAGATTTTAACATTTGCGCATAGCGATGTTTAAAAATAATAAAATTAATTTTGTGAAAATTCGAAGCAATTTTTGCCAAAATTTTCTTCTACAAGTTTACCAAAATTTTCACATAGCCTTCTATACAAAAAGGGAGAGTAAAAATATGAGAGAAAACCTATCCTGGCCCCAGTATAAGACATTTTTCCCCTTAAAATGTCATCTTGAAAACCACACCTTCTTAAGCAGATAGCCTATCATTAAAAAAGTTGTAAATATTCTGTACCACGTGCTTAATATAATCGCTTAAACATTCTTATCGTAATTAAAAATTTCTTTACTGCTGGATTCCTGGACACGTAGGAATAAAAGGTAATGAGTTGGCAGATATCACAGCCAAAGCTGCTGTCGAGGAATCTAGTCAACTCATTCCTCTCAGAGATATCAGCCAAACCATCAAGCAGAAAATTTTAGATAAATGGCAAGAAATTAGGGATGCACAAATAAATAATAAGCTAAGAAGTGTGAAGCCTAGAGTGCAACTTTGGAAAAGTACTCGAAACCGAAGGGAAGAAGTACTCTTGACTCGTATTCGAATCGGCCACTCCAGAATCACGCACAATTATCTTCTCATAGCAGAGAGTGAGCCAATTTGTCTCTACTGTGATAGCATTTTATCTGTTCGTCATTTTTAATAGAGTGTCCGAATTTTAACAGACTAAGACTAAAGCATTTTAACGAGTGTGGCTTGCCTCTTGACCGTTTAATCGGGAAAGAGGCCAATAATAATTTATTTCTATACCTGAAAGAAACAGGTTTCTATTATTTAATTTAATTTAGCTTTTATTATAGTGTAATTTTAATGTGTTTCATCGCTTCTTACATATCATTTGCTGAGTTTTAATAACTACTTCTTTAAATGTTCACCATTTTATTATTTCATGTAGATTTTATGACTTAGCTAATTGTTGTTTTACAAAGTTTATCCATCTTTTTATAAACTACCATGTGTTTGGTGCATATAACCTTTCTGGTTATGCGCCATTAACTCAACTACCACCACCACCACCACCACGTAATTAAAAATTTAAAAATATTACAGATGCATGTAAAAATTATCAGATTGTAACCCAGGCAGCATGCATTCGTAAATTGCACGAGAAAAATACGTGCAATTTACGAATGGCCTTTCGTATAAAAAACGTTCAAGTTGAACGTAAAAATATCATAAAAAGTGTCCAGTGGCAATTACTAAATATTTACGTATATTTTTACTTTATACTATACGTAACTTTTACGTAAAATTTAGGTATATTTACGCGAGAGACTACTGTTCATTCGCTACTTTTACGTATAATATACGTAAATTTCAGGGATTTACGTATATTTTTAGTAAAAATTTACGTATATTTATCGCATATACGTAAATCTCAATTTTTTGCTTCACGTATGCGTATATATTTAGTAAAAATTCGTGTAAATTTCCTCGAATTTTTACTGTATATAAACGTATATATTAGGTAAAAATTAAGGTAGATATTCCCCGTATTTTACGGTACAAAAACGTATATATTTGATAGAAATTAACGTATATATTTCCTGTAATTTACGGTACAAAAACGTATATATTTGATAGTAATTGACCTAAATCTTCCCTATGTTTTCTTTGCATATGCGAATGACTGGTAAAAATTTAATCCGATGTATTCTCCACTTTACTGTGTATAAATGCACATTTTTTGGTAAAAAATTTGCATAAATCTCCAATTACCTTTTCACTGCATTTTTCATAAAATGTACTTATTTTAATCTCATATTTTTTATATAAATCTATGCAAAAACTTTCTGTATGCTATGATTAAAAGGTAAAATAATTTTATATCAAATTCTTACATATCTGCCTTTTAGTTATGTACAGCAATATGGAATATATATAACTGGAAAATTTAAATGCACTAGTAAATGAAAAAAAAAAAAAATTCTATTAAAAAATTATGTAACACTTAAAGGCTGAAAATTACTTTTAATATTTCATTTCAAAGTGACTACAAAATATGCAATAAATTTTGTAAACATCAATTCTGTGTTTTAAATCAATTAATGCTATCGTTCATTTGCATTTTTGTTTACTAAATTCATTTCATAAATTTAAATTTAGTAAACAACTGTAGCAAACAGTTGTTTACTAAATAACACTTTAAATAAATTATTTGCTTTTCCGAAGGACATTTTCTTATGCCATGTAAATGAACGATAGCATTAATTGATTTAAAACATAGAACTCAGGTTTACAAAATTTATTGCATATATTTTGTAGTCACTTTTAAATGAAATATTAAGTGATTTTCAGCCTTTTAGTGTTATGTAATTTTTGAATAGAAATTAATTTTTTTGCATTTAAATTTTCCAGTTATATATATTCCATATTGCTGTACATACCTAAAAGGTGGATATGTAAAAATTTGATATTAAATTAATTTTATCTTTTAATCATAATATGCAGAACATTTTTGCATAGATTTATATAAAAAATGAGATTAAAATAAGCACATTTTACGAAAAATGCAGTAAATAGGTAATTGGAGATTTATGCAAATTTTTTACCAAAAATGTGCACTTATACACAGTAAAGAGGAGAAGACATCGGACTAAATTTTTACCAAAGTCATTCGTATATGCAAAGAAAACATAGGGAAGATTTAGGTCAATTATTATCAAATATATAAGTTTTTGTACCGTAAAATACAAGGGAATATCTACGTTAATTTCTATCTAAAGTACAATATAGTTAATTAACAAATTCAGTAAACGAATGTAGCACAAAAGAAAAACATCATACGTTTAGATTATTTGAATGAGTGTGCTAAATTTTAAAATTGTTAAATATAGACCAGGAAATTGTAGAAAACTTACCTTTTCCAATAGTTTACCAAGTTGACTTTGTTATTTTCCTTGAAGATGAATGTTTAATGTCACAAATATTTCATTCATATCTTCAGATAATACACAAATATATACATATTTATTTATTAAAATTCAGTTTATCCCAAACATGTTAAAGAAAATATTAATTTGCATGCAAGTTAATCGAGTAAGCTTCTGTTTTAATTACACACATAATTATGATATGTAAAAATTTTACATTTATCAGTCAATCTTGCAATGTATTGTAATCTATTATTGTTGTCTTTTTCAGTTTAAAATCTTATAAATATATTAGATCAGTACTAAAAGTTCACCTCTACAAAAGAAATGCTTTATTGAGGTATTTTTAAAAAGTTCCCTTTTACAATGTAACTGTTAATTTCATAAATAAGTTCATAAAATTATGCAAATTCAAAATTACCTAAATATGTTCTTTATTTTATCTTATATACCAGATAAAATTTCAAAAAGTTAATTTGTTTAGGAATATTGAATTTTTTAATATTTATCTCATGTGACTTTTTCTATAACATCATTATAAATGTGCATGTTGATGTGGACATACCAATTATTTTTTTTCATCAAATAGCTTTATGGTATTAAATGATTTAAAAAGAGGCAACTGGACAAAAGAAAGCAATTAGAAGTTGGCTAATTTTTTATTAATTTGTTGTCAAATGCTGTGCATTTTAGATTATGCTCATATGATGACAATGAGTTATTTAAATTATAAAATTATTATGAACATATCCCACATAAATTAACAAGTATAAAATTTCAAGTTGTTTGAAGTATTATGAACTGTAATACTTGCAAAAGAAATACACATGAAATTAATTTAAGAATTAGGTTTATTTTACAGGTATTCAAAAAACTGCAATTACTGTTAAACAATAAAAACTAACATTAAATCTGAAGAGCATATTTTTTTCAATAATAAAATTCAACATAGACTTCATGCAGCTTCGCCATATTTGTTCTATAGTTCGCTGTCTTTAATATCCTGCTCGATTTTTGTAAAAGTGAATTCTTTGTCACCCAATGTTTTGAGAACAGCTCCTAAACAAGAAAAAGAAAAATTTGTAATAATTTCACACTTCAGATGTTTTCAGTTTTTAAATATAGTTGAAGTATTAAAAGATGCATATAAAATGCACTGAGTATTTCATATTTAAAAATTTACATTTCAGTAATTAAAAATTTAATTTCATACTATCACACAGTAAGCTTCAATTATATACCTTACACAATGCCTATAATTTCAAGTGAAAAATACTTAAGATTTGTTTAGAACTGCAAGGTTGAGAAAGTCTTTAATGGCTATGTTTGTATTTAAGTACATGAGAAAAAACTTAATTTTGTATTAATTATATTGCATTAGCCTTTTCAATTTTACTCCTACATATAGTAAAGAATATTCGCTTTCTTACAGATAACTTTTTCTTAAATAAAGAGTAAGCAGAAAACTAATCACAACACTATATACATATAACAGAATACTTCATAAACATATACATGTCATTAACATACGTATATGCATTAACAGGCTATTTTACACATTTCAATAAACCAGAAACCAATACACAATCAAAAGTATTATCAGTAAATTCCTCCAAAATCAGAGCAAAAATCTTTAATTATGATAACAATGGCATCTCAGTTTGCAATATAAAATATTTCAAGTCTACATTCATGTGCATTCTAAGCAAACAGAATGCTGAATAACAATAAAATTATAAATACCATAAAAAAGTTAAGAGCCACGTAGAATGATAGCAAGACTAAATGAAGTCTTCCTTCAAAAATCAATTTAAATTCAAAAATTTGCCTTCCTGTTTAACATCTCAAAATAGGGTTACTGCTTTCACTAACTAAATTTCCTGTCTTGGCAAAATAAAAATTGTCACTTCTGTTGCAGGAAATATTTGCTGCAAACTTTGTATGCAAATAATCCAGTGAAAAAATTTTAATTGTGGCTTGAATATTTTCTTTATTAAATAAATGAAAAAATTGCCACATAATATTAATTTATGATCCACATGAAGCTTTTTACCTCTACCATATCATGCAGCTATTTTAAAATATATACTCTCATATAAAAGCCACAGAATTTTTTTACCAATATTAATATAGTATAAATCATTAATAAATCTTCTAAAAAACAGCCCCAAATTTTCTGAATTTGATACCCAAAACATAATTCTACGTAACTGTTAATGTATGCATTTGCTTGCACATACTTAAAATGAATTATACACACAAAAACTTAACATATTAACTTTAATAAATTCTTAATTAGCAGGATGACTCAATTAAGGCAAAATATGAAAGAAATCTACCTGATGGAATAGTTGTAAAAGATATATTTAAAAAAAGCTAATATTGTTTACCTTACACATAGCAGAAATTGAGTAAACTGTATGCAGCTGGATTATTTATTAGGAATAGAAGTTAGATCAAAGTACCAAAGTCACACTAGGGCTTTAACCATTTGGGTGCAAAGAAGCACCTGAATTTCAAAAAGAATAATTTAAAAAAGCTAATAGAATTATATAACTTTTACAATCTAGTACAAATGCCATTATTTACTTGCATATTTTCCTTCTTTGTGTACTTTACTCCTTAATTTTTCAGGATATGATTTAGAAACAGAGTTATGGTAAAAATGTATACTGGTAAAAAAAATATTGCTGAAACTGATAAGTCCTTTGAATTATATACTATAGTTAGTGCAAAGAGGGATGGAATATGTGACTAAATATGATAAATCAGATTACAATAACATTAAACAAATAACATGAAAAACTGAAAAAAGAAATTTTATTTGAAATTATTTTTTAACTCATGGAAAGACAGACAGTATTTCCAACTTATTAAATTCAATTATATTTTACCTTCGTCAAACCAATATTGGTAAGAGAGTTGTATTTAAAATCGGTGCTAAGCTAAAACTGCTTTCTTGCCTAATTTTATACTATTGAAAATACCGGTAATTGTCAAAGTTATTCGTACTCAATATGTGTAAGATTATTAATGAGCTGCCAAACCGCAGTTAACCATCTAATATACTACATTCAACATTATTATTTTTCTTTTTGAATGTCAGGTTTTCATTATTTCTGCCAATATATCTGTAACAGGACATAAAGATTGAGTTAATGTAGAATAGAAAATTACCTTGCAAGTTAGCACCTTTACCTTAGTGGCAGTACTTCATTCTCTAGAAAAAACATTTTAAATTATTATACTTAAACAAAAAATTCATATTTGTTACAGCAAAACATCATTAACACAATAAACCAGAGTTGAATGCAAATCTAGTTTAACTCCATTCTTGAAAACTAGTTTATTACTTTCAATTTAATTTAAAAATAATAAAAAATAAGGTACGTATTATGATGACTACCTAGATATCTCGCCTAAACTGGCAATCCTTGTAGGTTATACAGGTTAACCCTAACATAGGTTATAGAGGGCACTAAGATAGAGTATTAATCCCACACTAGAGACTCTAACATTTGGTAGGAACAGTTTGAAAAGTGAAACAGATATTTATAGTGAACCAATGCAAAACAAAAAACAATAGTTCTTTAGGGACAAAGCCCCTTTGGACTAATAAATACGAGTAAATTAACAGCTTTTAGCTATTTTTTCTTCTTGTAAAAAATAGACATACAGAATATTTTTAGAAAATAACAGTACTTTAAGCATGCATTTTCCACATATTTAACACAATAATTCATTCTAGCTCTGTTGCAATACTGGCAAAGGTACTCCTCCGTTATTAGGACGGGATTCAGAAATGTACAATGAAACCTCGAGATACGAGGAAAGTATGAGCAAAATACGAGCATTAATTCGAGTAACGAGCAATGAGCCAGGCTGTTGGTATGGGTGGCGCCATTTCCCTATCCGGCTCAACTCGGGGAATCCCCTCGTCAGATCACTCAGTGTTCTTTTATATACGTGTTTGTGCACTTGTAAGTTAATTGTTTTGACATTTAACGTGAAAATAATTATTTCAAGATGCCTCGCAAGAAGATTGTTGCCTCAGATAGTGCTGCAAAGAAAAATAAGGAGGCCATGGCCGTCGATATCAAGAAAGAAATCGTAGATAAACATAAGCATGGTGACAGAATTGGCGAAGACTTGCGGCCTTTCAACATCGAAAATCTATACTATTCTGAAGAAGCAGGAAGAAATTAAGAAACCTGATGTAGCCAAAGGAATTATCGTTGCTTCCAAGCACCATAAAAGTACTCCTAGATGTTGAGAAGCTGTTGTTGGTGTGGATTAATGAGAAGGAGTTAAAATGTTGGTAACAAAGTTAAACTATTGTTATATTATTTACCAGTGTTATTTATTAGGAAAAATTGACTTGATATTAAAATGTTGATATTTTTTGGGGTGTGGAACGGGTTAACTGAATTTCCATTATTTTCAATGGGGAAGCTTGTTTCTAGATACGAGAAATTCGCTATACCAGTTGAATGCTGGAACGAATTAAACTCGTATCTCAGGGTTCCACTGTAGATATGTAAGCATGTGTATATGCATGTATGCGCATATACACATACATACATAAAGAAATAAAGAATATACACATGCACACACGAGCACCTACATTTAAAAATGCATGCATATAAACACACATTTCTGAATCTGGTCCTGATAACAGAAGAATACCTACATGAAT